ATCAAATGTAAGTGAAAATTAACGTATACACAGTCTAATATTTAAAAACATACAGGGTATTTGATAATTAACGATAAAACTTGCATAGCGACGGAATGAATTAAACTGAGTCGACAACTCTACCATTTTGTAATTTTCGTAATAGTTAACAAGATATTAATTTAAAAATTTTCAAAATTTCTTTAATATCATATTTTCTCACGTTGGTAAAAATTGCCGATAAGAAAATGCAGTACTAGATGTACAAATGCAGTATTATAAAAAGTTAATAAAAAATTCTGAAAAAAATTCTTAGAGTTTTATGAGAAGAAAATAAACAATTTTTATATCTTACTGTAAAGTTTTTCTGTAAAGTTGATAGTATTTGAGTAAAAAATTATTGAAGACCAATATTCGATAATTTTTAGCTAATATCTTGTTAACTATTGCGAGAATTGCAAAATGGTAGAGGACTTTCGATTCAATTTAGTTCATTTTGCTATACGAATGTTTTATCGTTAATTATTAGACACCCTATATAATATAAAATATAATCGTAGTCGTCCGAACTCATTCGACGTCATCGTCGACATCGACTGACGCCGATCGACGGCGATACTGAGGAGACTTCAGATGAGGAATTCATAAATGCCAACAACAATATCAGCGAATTAACAGATCATGAAAGAATCACATTATAAACGACGTTATTTTTACTAATTTGTTTCAAATTTATAGACTCATCTGTTTTATATTTTAGTACTTACAACTCCTTGAAGAGCCAAATATTTAAAAAATAATTTATAATAAGTTTATGTTATCCATTTTTTTCAACAGCCATTTTGTAGAAATACGAAAATACAAATTATGAAAACCTTCTAAACATATATTGATTTATTGATTATCAATTATTTCGAATTTTTCTATTATCTTGGATCAGCCATTTTGAATTTTTTACATTGTATTTAACCCTAAAAATCTTAATAGATCTCAGTATATGTAACGAAATAACCAAACTAATTTTGAAAGTTGCACGTTTTTTATTTATTGCAAAATTATTCAAAATTTTGTAACTTTTTCGACTATCTTGCCAAAAAATTCTTGTTTTTCAGTCTTTAAACTATCAATTAAAAAAAAAATGAATTAAAATCGATGCATTATAACCAGAGATACAAACAAATGTCAGATTAAAAATATCTGTTGTGTATGCATAGAAATTATTTTGAGTTGTGTACTGAGAGTTAATATTCACATTTTCATGATTACTCTCTAAATCTAAATGGATAGTCACTAGTGGCACATTAATTTTAATCTTCCAATACTTACCATATTCATTGAATTTATGCATTAAAACAAGATTAGTTAGATTACATAATAAAGACAATTAAAATAAATATATAAATATATAAATAAAGACTCTCAATCTTAAAAATAATAATTAGAAATTCAGAACTAGGTTAATGAGAGTTTAACGCTGATGTAAGAGCGAAGAGTTAGGAGATGCAGATAATATTCAGGTGTTGGCAGTTATCTTCATTTATTATATCGAACATTTCGGCTCACTTTGGAATCGTCTTCAGCGAAAAAATAGAAATATAATACATCGTTGAAAGTAAGTCAATCGCAGATTGACAGAAATGCAGTAATCAATACTCTCAATGGGAAACAAAGCAGTTCACAAACATTGATTCACAATTTTCATAAGATATAAACTAAAACAAATCGTTCCTCAGATTAATATCGTGTCAGTTTCTTGACGTATCGTTTGAAATATCGGTTGAAATTTTGAGCGTATTGATTACTGCATTTCTGTCAATCTGCGAGTGACTTACTTTCAACGATGTATTATAATATATTTCTACTTTTTCGCCGAAGATGACTCCAAAGTGAGCCGAAATGTTCGATACAATAAATGAAGATAACCGCCAACACCTGAGTATTATCTCCTAACTCTTCGCTCTTATAGCGTTAGACTCTCATTAGTTTTGTTCTGAATTTCTAATTATTGCACATAATAAAGAGTAGCTAGGTTAGAAATCTCACATTTCATTTTTTGATTACCAGTGATATACTTGGCACTGATATTTTAGTGATTAGCCACTGATTCAGATTTAGAAAGTAAGGTATGAGAATCAAAAAAGGCATATATATCACACTACTTAGCCTTTGCGGCACCAAAAAAAAAAAAAAAAACTTAATAGTTAGGTACTATTAGAATTAGTAATCTGAATAAAACTGTACTTGTTGAAGTTATATCTCCGAAACTATTGGTAAAAAATATAAAATCAAAATATAAACCAATCGCCAAATTCAAGGGAATATTATCTGTTAAGAGATTAAAAAGTGTAGTTATTCCAATATTTTTCCAGATACATCGTTTTTATAGTTATGGACTATAATTTTCAGTCAAAAAAATCATCGCAGAAAATTCTTTAACAACTGTATCTTGAACAAAAATTGACGGAGAAAGAAGAAAAAGAAGCATATTATAGGAAATTTTATAAGCTTTAATTTGTGATATATTTTACTTTTTACGTAAGTCCTTTAAAAACTGAGATACTTATAAAAAATTACGGAGAATACGTTTTTTTTAGAAAATGTTGAAAAAAGGCAATTTTTTTCGAAATTATTTTCCCAAAAATAAATTTTGGAGAGTGATACGTAATTAGGATTGGATATAAACTTTGAGAAAAATGCGAATATTATTTTTTTTAATTCGATTATATACTTGTATTGATAAACAAATATTTTAACGTAAATTGAGGGTACACATAATATCTCTCGGGAACTAGTCATACGAAGCTAAAAAAAATTTCAAGCTAATTCCAAAAGCTTTAAGACTGTTTATGTACATTTTTTGCACGATAAGCCACAAGTAAGTTATTCATTGAAATGTATTACAATTTGGAAAAATTTATTTATCTCGGCAATTATTCATCATATGAGGTTCAATAAAAAATGATTTTGTAGAGAATTTAAAAACCTTTCGATTTGATAATAAGTACTTTTTACGTAGGAATAGCCGAATCTGAGATATTTACATAAAAGGTTAAAAAATAAGTTTTGTTCAAAAATAAAAGGAAACATTAAAATCATATTTTTGAAACTATTAGTTGTACAGGGTGGGCCATCTATTGGTACGTTTTTGAATTTCGTCGTATGGCAACACCGAACGAGCTACAGACCCGAAATTTTGACAGTTTATTAGTCATACCGTCCGCGGCACGAAACAACATGTTTTCTCTTGAAGAGCGTTTTGAAATTTTAAAAACTTATTTTCAAAGTCAGTGCTGTGTCGCCGAAACTGTACGAAAAGAAATATGGGTCGTGATAGAGCACCCACCGAAGGAGCTATACGCAAATTGGTGAGGAAAGTTCGTGAGAAAGGGATGTTAGTGGATGACAGAAGTGGTCCCAGAGCTCGGACAGTGCGCACACCCGAGAATATTGAGGCTGTGGCCCAAAGTGTGAGACAATTCCAGCTTTGAAAAACAATATTACGACTGTTTTGAGTGAAATTGGCGCCGAGGTAGTCCAAAATGTCATTAATAATTGGGGTGACCGAATGGCATACTGTAAGGCCAGTAGAGGGAGCCACATGAACGAAATCGTTTTTCATTCTTGACGCGGATACTTTTAGCTTCACAACAAAAAAAAAATTAATAAAAAATACCAATGTATGCTCATTTGATCGCCTTTTTAAAAACGTACCAATAGATGGCCCACCCTGTATGTATACAGGATGAATAAAAACGATTTTGTAGGGAATTCAGTAACCTCCAATTTTCATAAGAAATATTTTACGTTAAATAGATAGAGATCCGAGATATTTACGAAAAACTAGAAAATCGTTTCATTTTCGAAATGACCAAAAATACAACACAGATAAAAAGGTTCGAGGAAATAAGCGCTGTTCAAGGTGCGCAAATTGTTCAAGAATATCTTTTAATATTCAAATTAAATTGATTGAAGAAATCGTAGAATAAACCCTTTTATCTCTGTTATTACTTTTAAGGGAATCGTAACATTTTTTTTCAAATTTTTGTAATACAACATTAATTAAAAAATTCTATCACGGAAAGTATTAATCGTACGATTAAAAAAAAAAACAAAATTGTTCGTAACTTTATCAGCTTTCTGTTTGATAATGACTTTTATTTTGGTAAAATGAATACTTTCTGAAATATTTTTGAAAATCGTATTTTTGATCAGTTTTTTGAAACTGAAAAGTTTTTCAAGTCCGCTGGCGATCAGAGCTTTTAGTATGCTGCATAATATTAGGTATTGGAATTAATTCGTAGCGTTTTTTAATGAAAGAATGTTATTTATTTCACATGAGCATTAAAAAATACATTAATGAAAGTACTTCCCATCACTTGTAAAACGCTACGAATTAATTCCAACACCTAATATGTCATTTCAAACAACTTCCTACAAACAAATTTATGACAATTTCTAAAAGATCTAATTTTCCTTAGTTATTACATTTAGTCTTTTATTTATAATTCCGATTCTGAAATAAGGTTACAAAGTATTCTTCTATTTCTATTTTATGTTCATTCTTTAAGAATTTTTAAAAAACAATTATAAATTATATGATACAAATTTTTAGACCAATGAGAATAAATCTAATTAAATAAAAATTCATATATTCAGTAAAGTGAGATCTTAATAAATTTCTTGTGTGAATTTATATATATATCTGATTCTGCATATCGTGCGCCGAAATCTTTTTTCGGTTTTGAAATGCTATCATGAGCAGAAGCATAATAATATTACTTTATTAAATACTAATGGCGCATATATCTAATAATTTATAGTTATACTCAAGCAATTTAATAATCTTTTATGCTAATAAGCATCTAATAAAGGTATAATTATAAATTGATAAATATGTGCGTCACAAGTGTCGGACTCATAATATTTTTGTTTATATAAAGAAAATTTAAAAATATTTAGATAAGATTTAAAATGTAGCGAATTACTTAACAACTTGTGAGGATCAAACAAATCTTACGTACTTCGTAGGACAGTGTAAGCGCCGTTTTCTCCTGCTTCAGCTGTTCGGCCCGGTGCTTATGTTGCAACAGATTCCGCGACGATTCTTCCATTCTGCAACAACAAATCAAAACCATCAGCGAAAGGAAGCTCGTAGATTTTAATCCTCGATGAAAAGATCCTAATTGAATGAGCCATTGAAATCATTCTCGTAGCCTCCTCGGTAGCTTTCTATTGTGCTGAGAAATTTATTTGCTCTCTCGTCAACTTTGTCTTGGTCCTGAAGAACCTCGCTTTCGACAAAAGGGATTCCATTCTCACAAAATAAACTTACAAAGATCTCTTTTTTTACTACACTCCCTCTATTCTTTTAATACTCTCTCTATTCTTGTCTCGTGTTCACTCTATGCATAACTTTTTAAAATCATATGGAAAAAACGGCTATGGTTGTCAGGACCAAAAGTCATCCATCAATGCATTTTTTGGTTATATAAGAATTATACGATTGAGAATCGTAAAATTGGTATATATATCTTAATGGTAATGGCTGTTAGATACATATGCTCATTTTACGATTATCATAACCAAATATATTAATGGGCGAAAATTATCATTATTTCTGATTGTGGCAACCGTAACATTTTTTCTGTGCATAATTATAAATTACTAAATTTATAATTATAAATAATTATAAATATAATTATAAGTTGCTAAATATAATATTAATTATTATTAATATTAGATAAATATTAATTATATATGAGTATAATACTTGCGCGTCGTAAGTATTGCACTCGTAGGACCGTATTCATATCTTACTTTTATTGAAAATGCGCGCGTTTATTTTTGAAATTCTATAATGTAAATAACACGTATGATAAAATATATACTAAAGTCGGCGGCACACGATACTTGTTTTCCTGCTGGGTTATTAGTTGGATTAAATTTTTGCCACTGTTGACTGCGATGCTGGCATTGTCAGCACCGCAGATTTTAATCCAGCTAGCAAGAAAACGCATGTGCCACTTAAATGTGTGCACTTATCGGTAAAAGCGAGGTATAAATACGGACACATAATATATTTTCATAACAATAAAATACTAAAATTACAACATCTCTCTCTAAGAAACTTATTACAATTGGCTCCAAGTTTGACAATTATATTTCCAAACTTTTCACTGGTACCCCTCTTAACAATTCTAAACTTGAGTATTAAGTAGACTTAAGTATCCCTGAATATATTTTATATTCTTTAGGCGGTGCCTTCATTTCCTTAGTGTCAAACTTGACTTTGCATTACTCACAAAGAAGCAAATCGAAAGATCGGGATTTTTGTTTGGTGAACTTCCTCATGCGCGAACGTTTCGCGGGGTTAATGATCTGATTAGAGATGCGAGGGCGCGGCTGAGATATGAAGCCGATTTAAGCTTTTCGAGGGAGGCTTTTGAGCAAGAGGTTGCCACAGCGCAATCCCCTGGCAACACCCTCCGTCTTCTCATCGCATCGGAACCCCTCACAGAACAGATATCGTTGCTTATGTCCTTGGCGAAGTAACTTTCGAACTAGTTACGAGTTTCAATTCGATTGTACTCCGTTGATATTTAATAAAGATAAATTCATGGCTCATGCACAAGGAAATCGCGATCATCTCGCTAATTGAATAACTAAATATATGATAAAAATTTAATTTTGTATTATAAAAACACATTTAAATGTACATATATGTATATAGGATATTTTAAGTTCATGTTATATTTTCAAAAGGAAATTTTTTTAGATTATTTACCGTCCAGGTCTAAAATCAAGTTTTCAAAGTAGAGAAATTTAAAGTTTCTAAAAAAAATCATTTCTAGAATATCTCAGGTTTTCTGGAATATCTCTAACATAAATCCATTAGATCGTTCATTTATGTTTTATGGATTTATGTCAGGTACATATAACTTAAGATATTTAAGAAAAAGTGATTTTTATTACAACTTTTGGATTTTAAATGATCCAAAGAGGAATGAATTCTTGAAGTTATAATATGAACTTAAAATCCATCCTATAAGCATATATTCTATATATTCCAATAGATGATATCTTGATTATATAGACTTCAAAGACTTATTCACAATAATTGAAAGATACTAAAAAAATTATGAAATAAAATTGTCATTATGTTAACATGAAATTTTCATTGTATTCTTCGAATTTTTAAGACAATACTTTTGACTGAGAAAGGAAACAAGATATTGTATTTAAACATAAAAAGAATAATCTTGCTAAAGTATTACATTTAAAAATTTAATAAACACAGATCTAAAAATAATTTTATTTGGACCATCGAAATAATTATGTAGAAAACTGATTGCTAAAATATAAAACTCTTTGCAGCCTTGTCAGCAACATTTAAACGTTTACATAATTATTCGATGGTTCTATAAAATTATTTTCAGATCTGTATATAATTAAATTTTTAGATACTTTAGCAAAACCTTTCTTTCCACACATTATAATTAGTTTCTCCATATATTATAATTAGTATTAAATGATATATTTGAAAATATTTTCATAAATAATTTTTATAAATTAAATGCACGGATATTTTTGACGATATTAAAATATCTATTAGTTATTTGTCATTAATTATATTACTATTTTTGTTAACAAACAATTATTGGTATTGTTAAATTAATTATGTTGAATAAATGAAGCTCATCGTGCTTAGAAAATTTTTCAAAGCACTTTGTAATTTATTTCATTGCTGTTTGCTGTTTTACATTTTTAGCTAGGCGAAGAAGTACGAAAGCGTGATCGATCGTCGAAGTAGCGCTCGCAATTGCTGCACCCTTAAAACGGGGTATACATAGCTCCCCCAAGTAGCGCTCCCTCGCCCACACTCACTCTCTCTCCATCGCCTTTCTACTTCTCTCTGTTTTCGCTCAAAACACATGGCACGAGCAAGCCGGTCCTCATGATTTACAACTGTTGCTCAGCAAATTCGATTACGATGATTCTGGGAGTACTGTGTAGCTGTGTACTATGTAGCTTCGAATTGCAGGAAAGGTACTCATTAATGCCGTATAGTCACTCAAGAGCGTTTACACGAATTAATTTCTTTTTAAACAATGATTTAATGTATTATTCATTTCATTATGCATTCAATCATTTATCATTATATCATTTATGTCATTATTTTATTTATATTATTTTTTTGTATATGCACTTGTTTCTTTCAATGGCATTAAAACTATTCTTATTTCTTAATTTCTATTATTTTGTGCCTTTGAATCTTTCCTTCCTTTAAATTTAATTCCTCTTATTTTTACAGCCTGAATAAATAATAATAAAAGTTAACACACTGTCATGGCTTATTTCGAGTTATAATTAAATTAACTTTAAATTAATATAATTAACAAACAGAACAAATGTCTGTTAATTATATTAATTTAAAGTTAATTTAATTATAGCTCGAAATAAGCCGTGACATTGTGTTAATTTAAAAAAAAAATATACGAGCATTTTTTACTCCATTTTTAATAATGAAAAGGTTTTAAAGATTATAAATCAAAGAAAGAGATGAGATACCTATAAGAATAAACACTAGTTTTTCATGCGTTAAATTTAATGACTGAATAATTAAGTTAAATTTAACATAAATGTTTTACAGTTTTGCATTATTTTCAAAAATATAATAATCGTTTTATATAATAATTGTTTATTCAAAAATTTGGTTCAATATATAAGCATCTCGTTTTATTGCCACTTATGGCAATAACCAAATTTTTTAAATGATATGCATGAACATGTAATCTTTGAATAAACAATTATTGAAAATGACTGTGAATCGAAACGTTTACATTAAACATTTAAATTCACATTAAAAAACACATAAATTGTTGATTCTTATAAACATCTCATCTCTTCGATTTCTATTCTGAATAAATGTTATCAATCGCAATTTTTTTTTCAAGTTTTTTTAGTTTCACTTATTTTATTTCCTTTTGTTTACATCTCGAACGTTTATTTCTGTTTCAAGAGAAAACTCTTATGTGAGATTTATATTTTGATGTATATTAATGTTACATTAAGTAAAAACATCAGAGAACGAACACTAAGACGAGAGTTTAAGTCTAGCAGTGCTATTGTTATTATTAGTTACACATGTCGATAGTCGCGCGTAAGTAGTAGTGGCACGCACGTTCCGACGCACGCACGCATGCGTGAGCTTCGCAATTCAGAATCAACAGAATAAACAGTTATCGGTGTTCAATCGCGCGGCGTTAATGCGTTGTGACTCTTTGTGCATTGACGTCATTATCATATGGAAATTGTTCCATACGTCGCCGCGTCGGTTTTACGCGCGTAGCACCGATGATACGAATACGCGTTCATTAGTGCGTCGCCGCGTTAAGCCGAAACTTCACCGGTTACGAATCAACATTCGATCCATACATGAACGGAATACATCCCATGAACTCCCCGTCACATAGCGTCGTCGTATCGTGCCGATAGAATGGATGCAGAGTTCGACAGTACGATTGTGTGGGATGAAGATTAATTTCCGGCGACCGCCCGCTCTCATATCCGTAAAATAACGCGCGTTGCGCTAAACACAATAGCCGCATAATCGATCTTCGCGCGCGGCTGCATCTTCAGCATTTCTACTTCAGCTGTGTTTCGATTTATAATACGAATTTTTCTCCCTGAATTTATATTTATCACGCAAGTGAACTGTTGTTTATATTCTACTATGTATTTATTGTGACGAAATTCGTCACAAATCTTCAGTCGACATCGACATTACAAAAACTACATATATATCAACTGCAATTTTATGTCTTTTATCAATAGTTTCAATTTTATTTAATTTTAATTACACATCGAGAAAAAAGTTTTTAATATTTTGTAACTATAATTACAGTAAGTGCGAAATTATGATTATTACTGCTGTAATGTGAGTAATGATAATTACATGTATAATCTTGTCGAACATATATATTATTGGCAATATATATATGTATATATTTGTTGACAGAACTATACATAGTAAGTAGATACATATAAATTAGGTATTATTACTATTGTACTATTGTACTATTGTACTATTGTACTATATATATAACAGTAAT